TCTCCTGCGAGAGATACGTGTCGGCCCGGAGCTCCGCAATAAACCTCTTACCTCTTGCTGTTGCATCAAGCCGGTGTCTTGGAGTCTTGGGTCTTCGCCGTCCACTCGGGACAGGACAGGACCACCGGTTCGGGGGTCCTTCAACACCACATAGAGTAAGGACTTAAATGTGTGTTTGCTGTTGTGATTAGATGCATGAAGTCAACTCAGACTCATCTTAACCCTATAAACCACAGCAGAGAGACATCATGCTCTACCCTGTGCTGTCCTCACCACCTTCTCCTTGCTTATGCCCATTGTTGCGTCATTATGTAAATCCATCTCCTTGAAAGTCTTCCTCTTCTTCTTGGCCAACCCTGTACTTTTCCAAGTTCATTCAAATAAATCCTTCTCCAGGAGCTGGACCCTTCTGGGAGCATGCACAAAGTGTATGAGAGGAAGTCGCACTGTCCACCTCTGAGGAACACTATGGTTGCACTTGCTCCAAGACAAATGTGTTTATTCTTTCAGAAGTCCAAAACCGAAAAAAGGTCAGCAGTTCCAATCCACCAGCTGCTCCATAGAAGAAAGAGGTCAGTCTCCTTCTGGCAGCAGGCGTTTGGGAGAAGTTATGTTGATGTGCAATCGATGAAGGCTGTAGTCAGACCCTCTTTACTAAGTGCTTCAAGTCCTCCTTACTTTCTGTAAGCAAGGTTATGTCACCTGCATAACGAAGATTCTTGATGAGTCTTCCTCCAGTCTCGATGTCATAATCTTCATTATGTGAAGCTTCTTTTTTAAAATTTTATTTACATATTGTTGTATATTTTCTCCCCCATGCCATCCTCTTCCTCCAATCCACCACACAATGCACCCATTGTTCCTGATGATTTTCATATATAGAATGCCTAATCATATCTTTCTTTCAAAATTATTCTTCCCTTCATCTGTTCTAATGTGTTCATTATCTATTTACTATGTCCTCATTCCCTCCCCAACACCACCATGTCTGTCCTATTTTATAACAGCCATGTTATGCAGTATTTGTCCTCTTGTGACTGAGATATTTCACTTAACACAATGTTCTCAAGGCTCCCCTATGTTGTGTAATGTTTTACGAGTTCATTGTTTTTCCATGTTGTGTAGTATTCCATTGTGTGGATGTACCATAGTTTTTCTATCCATTCACTCATTGATGGGCACTTGGGTTGCTTCCATCTCTTCACTATCGTGAGTAACACAGCAATAAATATGTGTGTGCATATATCTATTTGAGTTGTGGCTCTGGATTCTTTAGGGTATATTCCCAGCAGTGGAACTTCTGGGTCAAATGGTATGTCTATTTCCAACTTTTTGAGAAAGTAAGAGACCACCTTCCATAGTGGTTGTACCATTTTACATTCCCAAGAGCAGTGAATAACAGTTCTAATCTCTCCACACACCAGCATTTGTTGTTTGCTGCCTGTTGAACTTTGCTACTGTTGCTGAGATCTGTGTAGCTTCTTGAGTGATTTGTTCAGCATACAAAGTAAATAGGTGTGGAGAAAGGATACACTCTTATTATATCTTTGCTGATTTTAAACCAAACAGTGTTCCCTCTTTCTGTTTTTGTCCATTCCAAAGAAAGGTGATCCTCAAACAAAATACAGACATTATCAAACATACACATTAGCCCTAATTCGTGTCATCATTACTATAATTAGACAATCAGTTTATCTTTTGAACAAATAATTTGAGAAGTGGGACTTTATGAGGAAGAATGTAGCATCAGAGAGTGGAAGACTCATTAAAAGCCTGCATTATGAAGATGACCCAACCTTGCTTGCTAAAAGTCCAGAGGACTTTAAACACTGATGAGCATCAAAAACTATAGTGTTCAGCATGGATCACACATCCACATCAAAAAATAAAAATCCTCACCTCTTAGCCAATAAGAAACATTATGTTAAACAGAGAAAAGATTGAAGTTGCCAATGAGCTCATCTTGCTTGGCTCCACCAGCACAGTAGTCAAGAAATCAAAAGACCTCTCCAAGATCCTAAAGAATGATGTCCATTTAAGGACTAGGGTATGCCAACAACAAATGCTGGTGAGGTTGTGGAGAAACTGGGACCCTTATTCACTGTTGGTGGTGGGTAAAATGGTTCAATCACATTGGAAGGCAGTAAGGTGCTTTCTCAAAAAGTTGGAAATAGAACTACCATTTGACCCAGCAATTCCACTACTGGGAATATACCCTAAAGAAATCAGAACCACCACTCAAACAGATATATGCACACCCATGTTTATTGCTGCATTGTTCACCATAGCAAAGAGATAGAATCAACCCATTTATAGACAGTCCATAAATCACACTCCCACATCTGCAGATCCACAGACACCCAGGTACATCCATCACAGAGCAGAGCGTCATCCTGTCCCATGCCATCTTTATGGTTCCTGACCTGAGTCCATTGTTGTGACTAGTGCACCCTTTCGTCTCATTGCTAGAAAGACCAGATGAGAAACAGAAACCCACATGTGGCGAAACACGGAAACTTCAAAACAATGCTTCAAAGCAGGCAGAGCCTCCCTTGGCAATGCCCCGAGTCCTCAGCTCAGGGAGTTGCCGGCCTGCTGCCTCGCCTACAGAAATCACTGCCTTCAGAGGGCAGAGACCAGCTCCCCTTGAACACCTCGAGTGGCCATAGGGGACAGGCCTTCCTGCATTCCCCTTCTTCCTGACACCACGTAGAGCAGGACAAGTGTGGCATACACCCGTAAGAGAGCAGATATTCAGGCTGAAGGAGGTACAGTCCTCCAATGGTACAGCGTGCTGAGAATTAAGGAGCTCTGGTGGTGTCACGTCTGGGATGTTGTCACACTAAGCAAATGGTTGACAGTTCAAATCTCCTAGTTGTTCCAAGGGAGAAAG